CCTCCTCCTCCTCCTTTTCATCCTCCTCCTCCTCTTCCTCCTCCTCCTCCTCCTCCTCTTCCTCCTCCCTCTCCTCCTCTACTCCTCCTCCTAGCAGGCAGCGAACAGGAAGCTCTGGCCGAGCGCGGCCAGGCCTGCGCGGCGCCTGCTCGGCTCGCAGGGCGGGCCCACGGGGGGCAGCCCGGCCCGTCGGAGGGGAGAGGCGCGGCCTCAGGGCGCGGGGGATGCGCGGCCTCAGGGCGCGGGGGGCGCGAGCCTGTAGCTGCCGAGGACCGTGTGCTCCATGTTCGGGGGGGCGTAAGAGGGAAGGGGGCTGGGCACGCGCAACAAATTGATGGACCCACACCTTCCAGGACCCCCCTGAGGCCTCCCCTGCATTCGAGGTCCTCGCCTTTCCCCCCCCCATTTCCTCCGTTTGCCCAGATCTTCCTGGGAAGCGACGATTCCTTGTGCCTGTGTGTGTTTTCCCCTCCCAATAGAAAGGTGGGGCAGAGTCAAAGCCGAAAATGAGGATGCGCGATAAGGATGCAAGCCCCTTGGACGCCCGGGTTGAAGCTTTGTCGCTGGCGGTGGGCCATCGAAGGTAGTCAAGGATGTGCCGAGAAGGCACAGATGCAAGGATACCTCCTAGGAAGTTTACCAGTCCTCACCATCGGTTTCGACTGTGGGGGCGGACAGCTGCGTGCGTCCCCTGGCCCCACCTCGTAACAAGTGGCACGCGTGCCCTGGCTCTTGCACCAAGGAGCTGCAAGGGAGAGGAGGCTTTCGCCTCCTTCACCCAGGAGTTCCCTTCTGTGGCCGGGGGGGGGAAGACGACGACGAACGAACGAACGACGACGACGAACGAAAATAAAGAGGTCCGAGCTCTAGAGCACAACTGTGCAAGAGAATACTCCCCCTCCTATCGGAGAGACGTAAGTCTCGGGTTCGGGGGACTCGGGGATCAGCCTGCCGGGGTCGTCATAAAAATGACGATGGTCCAGTCTGAAGCTTTGCGCGAGCTCCCGCTGCAAACCTCCCACGAAACTTGACCGTCAATACCTGGGACGCACTCGTCAAAGAGCGTCGGGAAACCCGAGCTCCGACGCACTCGAGTCTTTGAAGTTGCCTTGGGAGACAAATAACAGAATTCCCCCATATGTTCCCCAACATGTTCCTATAGTTTCTGGGTTTTTGTCTTCCCCCCACTTCCCATATTTTCCCATATTTTCGGGGGAATCGACGATTCATTGTGTCTGTGTGTTTTTTTCCCCTCCTAAGTCTTGAGGTGTTTCCCCCCCCCCCTCCACGGACCCCCCGAGGTGTGAAGCCACTGCCAGGTCCTGACGAGGTCCACCACCGGGAGGCACAGCTCCACCTCTTGAACAGGGACCGACCGTCCCGGCATTCCCGCAGGCCTGCCAAGGCATGCTCCTGGAATCCAAAAAGGCAATGTTCTATAGCATAGCGAAAACAATGTTCTCAGAAGTCAAGCCCGATGTGCTGAAACAAGACGGCCTCAGCCAGAACTGATCTGAGACACTGTCGTGCAGACCACAGAAGGTTATTTGAACATTCCTTGGTCGGCCTACTAGGCGGGCCAGGACGCTTCGCCACTGCTCGACACCTCGGCGCCCTCTTGCGCGACCAGGTCCACACCCCGCAGGGCCACGGGCCCCGCCTCGCCGGCCGCCGCCGCCGCCAGCGCCCCCCGCGCCTCCTCCGAGAGAGCCCCGACCTCCAGCACGCGGCCCACCACGACGTGCAGGAAGTCCTTCGGCCTCACGGGCTGCCCGTCCTTCCATGGCTTGCAGCAAGTGGACCCCCGAACCCCTTGGGAAGGGACCTATGTGAGGAGGGCCAAAGGCATTGGGGATAGGGGGTCATGGCCTGCAGATGTATCAAAACAGTCCGCCCAGACTTAAATTTATTACTATGATTGGTGTGCTTACCATTATTATTAATAATACTACTACTACTACTACTACTACTACTACTACTACTACTACTACTACTACTACTACTACTACTACTACTACTACTACTACTACTACTACTACTACTACTACTACTACTACTACTACTACTACTACTACTACTACTACTACTACTACTACTACTACTACTACTACTACTACTACTACTACTACTACTACTACTACTACTACTACTACTACTACTACTACTACTACTACTACTACTACTACTACTACTACTACTACTACTACTACTACTACTACTACTTACTGTTATTTATCAGTATTAGGAGGATTATTATTACTACTCATTAAATTACTAGTATCATCAGCATTACTATTCGTGCGAAGACGGGGACGTCAGTGAGGCCACGCCGTCACTGTTGTTATTGTTGTTGTCGTTGTTGTTGTTGTTGTGGTTGTCGTTGTTGTTGGGGGGCCGGTGTTGGCGGTCCTCCAAGCCGCTCGAGCGTGAGCCTCGTTTTCAATGAAAATGTAACCGGCGGGGCAGGTCGTTGAAGCGTGAATTCTGGTTGAACCGCCAGGCAACATGTAGCGGGACCGCGATTCCTGAGTGTGGAGGAGCGGCATCTGAATAAGTTGTGAGGAAGTATCAGGCGGGAGCCGCGATTCAGTGGTAAGTGGCGAGGAATTCCCAAGCGAAAACGCGATTCTTCAATAAATTGTGCGAAAATATCAAGCGGTGGGCGCGACTCGGTGGTAAATTGAAGGAAGTCCCAAGCGAAAGCGCGATTCATCAATACATTGTGAGGAAGTATCAGGCGGGAGCCGTTGTTGTTGTTGTTGTAAACCGGGACAACCAGTTTGACCCTCAAGACCTTACCTGATTAAAAAAACAGGGTGCGAGCCCCGGGAAGGGCACTTCAACCGAAAAAACAATGTGCACCGGACGGAGGGAATCAACAACCAATATTTTTCAGAAATGAAAGTTCAACAACAACAACAACAATAACAATAATTTTAAGACTGTTCGCCCTTATATGCTCGAGTGTCAAATAACGCGTATGTCCAAAACCCTCGATACCCGCCCTCTTCGTCTTCGATCGAACCCCTTTTGGGGGGTATACCTTTCTTCCCTGCAGGCCGGGCCCCGGCAAGCGGCGGGGCGGCCGCGGACCGTCAGCCTGGCCAGCGGCAGCGCTGATCGGCGGGGCGGCCGCGGACCGCTCGACCCGACCCCAAAGAGGGACGGACAGGGGACCGACCACGACGACGACGACGACGACGACGACGACGACGACGACGACGACGACAGCGACGTCGAAGACGACGGCGACGACGACGACGACGGCGACGACGAGCGAAAGCGAGAGCGAGAGATAACGACAGCAGGACCACGAAGGGCACGAAGTAGGCCACGAAGGGCGACAGCGGGGACACGAAGGGAGTGCGTATGGGGCCACGAAGAGCGCGAACGAGCGGGGGCCACGAAGTGCAGATAATGCGGGGCCACAGGAGGCAACTATGTGGCCACTGAGGGTAGCAACTGGGCCACGTAGGACAGTGAGGGGGACACACATGGCGACAGCGGGGCCACGAAGGGCATGCACATGGGGCCACAACGGGGGTGACTCCTGGGTGCCTGGGTGTCCGGAGCGCGGCGCTTGGGCAAATTGCAAGAAATTCCAACGCAAGGCCATTCTCCAGTAAGTTGCAAGCAAGTCTCCAGCGAGAGCGCGACTCCAGAGCGCCGGGAGAGCGATTCCTGACAAAATCGCAAGGAAGTCCCAAGCGAGAACCCGATTCCTGAATAAAATGCGAGGAAGTCTCGGGCGGGAGCGGGGGTCCGGGCTAAATTGTAAGGAAGTCTCAGGCGGGAGCCGTTGTTGTTTTAACCCGGGAGCCAGGGGCCCAGTTTGAGCAGCAAGTCTTTCCCTGTCAAAAAACAGGGTGCGAGCGTCGAGGGGCACACTTTGATTGAGAAAACACAATACGCACCGGTGGGGGGATCAACAATAATTATTCTTCAGAAATGAGAACTCAACAACAACAACAACAACAACAACAACAACAACAACAACAACTCCAACAACAACAACAACAACTCCAACAACAACTCTAACAACAACAACAACAGCAAAAACAACAACAACCGCAACAACAACAATAACAACAGCACACAACAAACAACAAATTAGCAAACAACAAATACCAACAATAACAACAACAACAACAACCATAACAGCAACAACAACCACAACAACAACAAAAACAACAACAACCACAACAACAACAACAACAACAACAGCAACAGCAACAGCAACAGCAACAACAACAACACCAACAGCACCACCAACAACAACAACAACCACAGCAGCAACAGCAGCAGCGCAGCAACAACAGCAGCAGCAACAACAGCAACAACTAAAACGACGACATGTACAGCCGGCCCTGGGCCAGAATTACATCCTTCAATAACATGAGTCCCTCCGCATGCAAAAACACATAGGGCATCCAAGGGTACCCTCCCCAGGATGCACGAGAACGTCCAACAAATACGAAGAACACTAGGGTATCCTCCCCGAACCGACCTCGGTCTTATACCTCAGTCCGACTGTACAAGCTGTCGGAGGTCCGCGCGGACTTCTTGGATCGGTGCTGAACCCCCTCCCTGGCGCGCGGAGCGCGCCAGGGGCGGCGCCGGAGGCGCCGCCAGGTGGCTCCAGCGCCGATCCAAGACATCCGCGCGGACATCCGAAAATGTACAGTTATGCTGCCGAGGCCCAGGATGGGCCTGGCAAGGGGCAAAGATATGTATAGTCTTCGATGCATGCCCCTATGAGGTGCTACGCTGGGGGGGAACGGGCTCATGGGGGGGAGACATCGAGCTGAAATCGGCGACAGAACGCCGATAGAGCGGCGATAAACCCGCGATGGCAAATCCGCATCTTCCTGGGCGGGGTTGGCTATCAGATCCCCAGCGGCGAGGAATCGGCGACGGGGTGCCGATGCATCCGTCCAATTATCCTCCTCGTCTGGTTTTCGGGTCGATCGGGACGGTCCGGGCACCCCTGGAACGCTCTCGGCAAGGCGCAGCCGCTGGAAGGCATCCCGAGGCTGGAAAGCCGCCGAGAACACACCATCGCCGCCATCATAGTCTGTGCCACAGAGACATCTACACGGACACCCTCCGTCGAAATGTACATGCACCTTCCGGGAGGGCGGCGGTGCACGAAGTCGCTGGCTCCTAGTGGTAATTTGTGCACCGCCACCCTCCCCTGAAGCCCAGGCAGTCCAGAGGAGGATGTCTGTGTATATTTGTGGCGGATCGTCGCCACCACTGGCCATCCCCCTGCGCCCCGTCTTGGCGGCGCGCAGAGGGGGGTAGGGGGGAGGGGAGAAGGCTCCTTGGAAGGGGGCCGCTTCTTAGAAGGCGCGGGCCGTGCATCTGCAGAGAAGGCCCGCGCCCTCTAACAAGCAGCCTCCTTCTGAGAAGCCGTCTCCTCTGCGCGCGGCCGCCATTCCTCCCCAGAGCCGCCCCCTGCACTAGAGGCCTCCCAAATAGGGTCGGAGGATCGCGCCGCATCGCCGATACATCGGCGATGCATCGGCGATGCACCAGCGATGCGTCGTCGACGTCGGCGATGCATCGGCGACGTCGACGTGAAGCAAATCGGGCCCTACATATAGCCGCATCGGGGATGCATTGGCGATGAGGCGCGATCCTCCGACCCCATCTACTCGGACGCCATCTAGGAGGCCTAGATTTAGGTCGAGCAGGTCCTCCTACAGGCAGATTCTGGAAGAAACTGAAACAAAGCACGGCAAAACAAAGAATCACACATAGTCAAAAACAGGAGCACGCAAAATCGTCCCCCGGTCTACTTTCGTCGCTGTTTCCGGCTACTCCTCCTGCCAGAGGGAGACGTGCCCGACTCAAGCCTGGCTGCACCCGCCCCCTGGCCATCGCTCGGACGTCCATTTCCTGTGTTTTTTTCGGTCTCGTGCGTTTTTTTTTTCGCCAAATGATCAAGGATGCTCCTCGATGGTCCTCGCCGGAGGAAAAATGCACACGTCCGAGCGATGCCAGGCCCCGCGCTCCTGGCCCGCCGCCACGGCCGCCCCGGCGCAAGAGCGGCGCAGGGCGCCCACGGCGTCCGGGGCGCTGGGCGCCTCCAGGAAGAGCAGCAGCAGCGACCCGTCGGGCATCAGGCGGAGGCCGTGGAGCGCGACCTCTTCGGGCCCGCGGTCGGCTCGGCTCGCCATCGCTCGGACGCCCATGCCTCGCGCACTTTGCGGCGTCGTGCGTGCAGAGTGCTCGCAAGATGGCCCCAGAGGCTGCTCGATGGTTCTCGCCGAGAGGCAGCTCACACGTCCGAGCGACGCCGGGTCGGAAGCGAGGACAGATCTCGGCTCCAGTGCTGCAACAAGAACCGCACCTGCGTTGTTCCAGCATCGGGGGGGGGGAAGCAGATGCCGATGGCGCTGCTCGTTCTGGAGAGCCCTCGTCGCCAGGGCTGGATTCTCCGCGGGGTTCTGGTCAAAATGCGCCCCAGGAGTGGTCCGGGAAAGTAGTGGTATCGGTACGTACCTCTGGTTATCCAGACAGCAGGTGCTGGAGGCGGCCATGCGTCGAGGAACGCCCCCCGCGCGCGGCGGGGCTGAGATCAGCAGCAGGTGTTCGCACCACCACTCGCTGTCCCAACCCACCCACCCACACACCCCTGTTGGCCTAGAGGCCTCCTAAATAGGGTCCGAGTAGACGGGGTCGGAGGATCGCGCCGCATCGCCAGTGCATCGGCGATGCATCGGCGATGCATCGCCGACGTCGGCGACGCATGGGCGACGTCGGCGTGGAGAAAATCGGGCTCCGCATCGAGCCGCGTCGTCGATACATCGGCGATGCGCCGCGATCCTCCGACCCCATTCACTCCAACCCCATCTAGGAGGCCCAGATGGCCCGCTCCGACCAAGACCGCCTGGGGGGGCAGGAGACCCTCCAGGGGAAAAGAAGAAATTGAAGAGGCCCACAAACACACAAATAAATACACACAAATAAAAAGATTCCCCATATGTTCCCATATTTTCTGAGTTTTTGTCTTCCCCACCACTTCCCATATTTTCCTATATTTTCCTGGGGATCGACGATTAATTGTGTCTGTGTGTTTCTTCCCCTCCTGAGAAATTCGAGTCGCCAGGAGAGAGCAAGTAGGCCTCTGGAGGGTCTCTGCTCAGCTAATTGGCCAGAGGCCCCCCTCCCGGACCTCAGAAGCGGTGAGCCCGCCCCCGCAAAAAAAAGCTCACGACACCATCCACCCTCTCCACGACAACACTTCCACAAGCAACATCCTGGAATAGCCAGGGAGCTCGCTGGACAAAGAGCACGCCATGGCCCCACGCAGCTGTCACCGAGGTGCCACAGCAAACCAAAGGCTCACGAGCACGAGAAAGCGGGAAAGGGGGAGAGGTGATGAACAAGAAGCCACGGGAAGACAGCGACCCCGAGAGGCCAAAAGTGCACATTTAGGAACACCAACAGGTACCGATACCGCTACTCCCCTGACCTCTCCTGGGGTGTGTTCTGACCAAAATTTCGACGGCAATCCAGCGGTGGCGACGAGGGCCTCCCAGGAGACCCCAAAAAGGGGGAAAGCGGGCAGAGGGTAGCAGTATCGGTATCTACTCCTCCTCTGATTTTCTCCGCTCGCGACGCCAGCGTAGGCAGAACGCACCGGGCGGGCTTGGCGGCAGGCGGACGCCGAGCGACCGCGGACCTTCGGCGCGGCCAGCCCTGAGACCCGCTCCGCCACCGCGGCGCACAAGCGCCGGTCGTCCTCGCCGCTCAGGGGTGTGCAGCGGTCCCGGACGTC